CGCGGAGCAGGTGCGCGCGAGGCACGAACGCTGCCTCGGCTGGGCCCAGACAGAAGCAATCCCCTGCCGAGCCTGGCGCCTGGTCTGTCCCCGCCGCTCCCAGCCAGCTTTCCCCGGCGACGGAGCCACTCTGAGGAGGAACCGCGGGAAGCGAGGCCGACTCCGTGTGTGGGGCCTCTTCGCACATCCTGGGAGCGGCCGGGAGTCCCACTGGAGGCGCGGGAGAACCTCGAGTTGGCTTCGCTGCGTGGGTGGCAGAACGGCGTTTGCTGAGACCGAACCCGCGGGTGGCGGAGGGGGTGCCTTGTTCGGTCCCGCCTCGCAGGGTTGCTTCCTCCCTCAGTCAGCGCGCCCGAGGATTGCTCGCTGTAGGACCCCATCTACCAGACGAGTAGAAGCTTAGGAGTCTTCAGGGCATAGCCAGTGTCGATAACTGGCTTCTCTCTTCCCCGGCTCCCACGGTTTTTTGGCCTTAAACTTCTCGCCACGATTTGTGCCTGTAGATGAAACTCATCCATCTACTTAAAGAATGAGGACATCTCTCCCACGTGAACCACAATCAGTTTTATTTCAGTTATTTCTGGGATATGAGATTACCGTGAAAATAGCTATTTTTGCCATATATTTGTGCCTTTCATGTGATTAATCACCTGTGGCTATTTCATGTAGGTTCCTACTTTTTTTTCTTGTCTTTCCTACTTCTGAGTAATGTGTGTGTGTGTGTGTGTGTGTGTGTGTGTGTGTGTGTATGCACGTGTATAAAGTTCTACTCTCAGTCGTGGTTGAAACCTGGGAGCCTAAAAAATAAGCAAAGTGCAGTCTCAAAAATCAGCAGCAACATTTGTACACGATTAAAATCAGTCGATTTGATAGCTACGAGTTTTGTGTTGTTCCAGTTGGAACATGACATTTCTCAGCCTATTCACTGAAGAGTCACGTGTATTTCATTTTAAATAGTGGAGAGTACAAAAGAAAAGATGGATGGAATTGAAGTGGGATAAGATAGATTAATGATTTTTTTAGGACAGGTATTGCTAATTTTTGACAGTGGATTTAAAATTTAGCCAGATCATCAGTCTGCCTATAATCACCATTGATCCTGGTGGTCCGCAAAGACTTAACTGTTTCCAAGTGAGGGAATGTAGGTAAGAAAGTATACCCTAAAGAATAATTTCCTTTAGCTCTAAAGATGAAGAGTAGGTCATTGTTTACATTGCTACTGTAAAGCACTCAAGTTTTAAATAATTAGAGATAAGTTCTAAACCTGCCCGGTAAGCAGGTTCTGTGCCATAAACAAGTTTGGGCCTTTTCCTTCATCCTTTAAATAAGGGGATGAGCACATAAATTGCCTTTAAGTAAAAGTACACTAACTATGCACCCTTTTAACCTAAAATATTCTAAAATTATTCATGGGAAGGGAAATAGGACTCGTTAAATAAATCAATAACAAAAAGAATTTCTGCATCTATAAAAGTAGTAAAGGAAAAATTAATTGGGCTGCGGATTTAGCTCAGTGGTGCTGGTGCCTGCCTGGGAAGTGCAAGATTCTGAGTTTGATCCCCGTTACTGGAAGAAAAAAACAGTCCATTAACGTTTAATTGGAAGTGGCGAATGAATTTAAGCCTTTGAAATTACATCAAAGTATTTTAAACGTTTTACTAAATTTTGTATTAAACTTGAAAATAATAGAATTAGACAATTACAACAAATGTTTGCGTTCCAGTAATTTTTCTCAAATACATTCTCTCTGAAATTTAGCAAGCTTTAATAAAGTTTACACAGGAAAAACTTAGTGACTTTACTATTAGTGTGACCTTTCCTTTACCTGCTCAGTGTAGTAGCACCATTATCTACAATTTTTCTTTCCCTGGTTTCTGTTGCCTGCAATGAATGTCCAAAACTATGCAGTGGGAAATTCCAGAAATAAACTGTGCATAAACTTTTAAGTTGCATGTCCTTCTAAATAACATAATGATAGTCCCAGCCCAGTGCTGTATTTGCTACCTACCCACCAGTGAGCAGCCATCTTGGTGATCAGATTGTCTCCAAATCATTGTGTTTGAGTAATCTTTATTTTATTTAATCGTAGGCCAAAGCATAAAACTAGTAATGCTGAGCATACTGAAAGAACCTGTAAAGCACTTCCTATAAGTGAAAGGGTGAACGTTTTTGATTTAAAGTAAAAAAGAACCTATGCTGAGGTTTCTAAGAACTATGGCAAGGACAAATAAAAAACATACATAGTTTTGTGCTGAGATTTCAGGCATCCACTAAGGTTTTTGGAATGGTAAAAGGGTATTATTGTGTTACAATATGGATATTCGTGCTCTGGTACACTGGAAATTGTTTTCAAAGTTCATCTTGGAATCAAGTGTTAAAATGTTTTGGAAGGAGGAGAGTAGCATTTCCAAATGCTGACAAATGTTGCAGGAAACATGGGACTGAGAAGAGACCAGAAGTGAAAAAGTTGAGTTAGAATCAGAGATGCCAACAGATTCATTCTTTTTGTCTTAAGAGTTAATAATTAAGAGTTTAAGCATCTGACACAACATGAAAGGATTTTCAGAAGGATTTTTATTATCATAGAAATGAAGTTTTTTCTAGGAGTGATATTTTTACCCTTATCCCCCAATTAACTCAGGTTTCATGAGGTTAATCAGAATTTTAGTACATGCATAAGGCGAACTCTTACTGGTGTTTTCTAGAGTCAGAAAATATTTCTTTATGCCAGTAAGAATTAGGAGTGGAGTATTCTTCCTTGAAGGCTTATCCCACTTTTTCTTATTTCCTGGCTGGCTAATGCCCGCAACTAGTATTGAGTACATGAAATGGCCCAGGCAGCTTTTTAAGTATGCAGTAAGTCCCCATCTTAGGAAAGAGTTCTGTTCCAGGAGAACTTTCTTAAATCATATTTGTTAGTAATTTCAACAAAATCTTAAATGCCTTTGACAAAAATATACAATGTAAAGCATTAAAAAATTTGCATGTTCCATCATCTTGTCCTTGTTCTTTGGAATTGTGCAAATGGGCAAATTATTCATAAGAATGAGTAATGTCTATCATCATTTCATCTCTGTACAATCTCACTTATTTTCACTTGTTTCCATGTTTATTGCTTTGTGCTTGCTAGCAGTCCCTTTTACGTCACTACTGCTTTTCCTCTTGTTTCTAGACATTCTGGGCTCCGATTAAGCACTGCACTGCTGTACACTATCACACTGTACAGTAAGTACCCAGCAGCACAACTATGACAATGTCTGGCAGACGTGAGCTCCTTCCATGATTTGTTTGCCTCTACAAATGTGTTCATAATGTGAGGTACATGCGGACCTATAAAAGTTCACAACTTGAATGTTCCTAAGTTGGGGTCTTACTATACTTAGTGTCACTTAATTGTATACTTTCAAATGTTTAAAATGGTGAATTGTGTGTACAATATGTGTATTTTTCACAATAAAAAGCAAATAGATACAAGGTAAACCTCTGGTAGGTTTTAGCCAACTTTTTCCCCTAAGAAACCTAATAACTTTAGATTGGTGGAATTAAGCGTTATATTATTTTTCTGGGATTGCCATAATTAAGTACCACAAACTGGGTGTCTTAAAACAAATTTATTGCCACATGAATCTGGAGGCTCAAAGTCCAAAATGAAGGTTTCAGTAAAGCCGTGCTCCTATTGAAGGCTTAGGAAAGAATGTTTCTTTACCTCTTTGTAGCTCCTGGCAATTGCCAACAATTTTTTATGTTACTTGGCTTCTAGTTGCATCTCACCATCCATCTTCACACACCTTCCCTGGGTGAATCTTCACATGTCTTCCCTTTGGATACCAGTCATTGGATTTAGACCCCACAATAATCCAGTATTACCTAGCCTTAACTAGTTGTATTTAAAAAGACCCTATTTCTAAATAAATTTACATTCTAAGGTTCTGATGGATATGGAATTTGGAAAGATACTGTTCAACCCACTAAGGGCAGTGAGAAACCTTATTATATTGTGCATTTCCATGAAGACATAACCCTAAATTGTAAGAAAAGTGTCATTTTCTGTTTGGTAAGGCCTCAGTCAAATGCTGGCTCAGAAAATGAAGATCAGCTACTCCCCTACCAAATGGATTAAGACTGAAAGCATATATCTGATCGCATTTATGCAAAGCTAGTGCCATTGTAGCTTAATAGTTAAATCCTTCTTAAAGCCTTCTATCTCTACTGTAGTGTACTCCAATTTATACCTTTAACCCTACCCAGTTTTAATATTAAGGTAGAAAAGTTCATCCTAGGTTCATATTGGCAGTTTACAAATGTTGTCATGTGTTCATGTCTGCTTATCTAATAAATTGCTTAATAAGAAAAAAATGTTTGATTTGTAATAAACACACTGATATTTCTCCATCCTTAATTCACAAAAAGGTAGACTATAGAAGAAAGGGTCGTATTTCCTAGAAGGGAAGAAAAAGGAATGAGAAGTTTGCTAAGTGAAAAAATAATATTAGGTGCCCAGATGTTATTTGATTTTCATCAAAACATAATACTGCATATAATTATTTAAATGATGAATTTTTCTTTTTTCTGTTAAAGTGATGTTTCATATTTATTATTTTGCATAGGTTGAACTATTTTTGCATCCCTGGGATAAATCACTTGATACAGTGAGTGATCTTAATGTGAGGTAGAATTCAGTTTGATAGTATTTTAAGGATTTTTGCATTTAGGTTCATAAGGGATATTGGCCTATACTTTTTTGTTGTTATTGTTGTATAGTTGTTTGGTTTTTGTATCAGGGTAATAATTCTGGCTTCATAGAGTGAGTATGGAAGAATTCCCTCCTCTTCATTAGATAGAATTCAGCAGTGCAGTCATCAGGTCCTGGGCTTTTTTTGTTTTTGTTTTTGATGGAGAAAACCCTATTATTGATTCAGTGTCTTCACTCTTTATTGATCTATTTAGATTTTCTAGTTTTTATTAATTGATTTTGGTAGGTTGCATTTGTCCAGAAATCAATCCATTTTTTTCTAGCTATACAACTTGTTGATGTGTTCATATAACATCTTAGGATCCTTTATATTTCTGTGGAATTAGCTGTTGAAGTCTCTTAGTTACTTTTCATTACTGAGACAAAATACCCAACACCCACAAATTAAAAGAGTAAAAGTTTATCTTGGCTCACAGTTTGTAGAAGTTTCAGTCCATAGTTGGCTGGTTCCAAGGCAGGGTGGCATGGCACAGGGACGTGGCAGAGGAGAAATAGTTCACAGCAAGGTAGACAGAAAGCAGCAAGGCAGTAGGCAGCAGCACTAGCAGCAGCAAGCCTGCCTTCTTTCTGTTCCTTTATATTCCATTTAGGCTACAAGCCCACTGACTGGTCCCGTCCATATCCCAGGTGGGGCTTCCACTATCCATACCTTAATCCCAGTATCATATCCTTGATCTACATTCACACACCCTAATCTAGCCACCTTTGAAACTCCCCACATACGGCCACATTAGGCTTGAGAGAGCCATGTAGATACGTGCCCATAAAAGTCTCTTTTGAAATCTCTGATTTTATGTCTTTTTTTTTTTTTTCTTGCTTGGGTTTTGATTTGTCCTTAGAAAAAGTTCTTGTTTCATTGATCTTTTGTATTTTTATTCTCTTTGATTTATTTATGTTCTGATTTTTATTATTGATTTTCTTTTACTAATTTTGAGTCATGTTGTTGTTTTTCTAGTTCCATGAGGTTTAATATTAAGTTGTTTAATTGTTATATTTGCTCTCTTCTAATGTAGGCATTTATTGTTGTGAACTTCCCCTGAGAACTACTGCTGTATCATATATTTTGGTATGTATTTGGTATCTCATATATTTTTGTTTGTCTCAAGAAATTTGGAAATTCATTTTTAAGTTTTCTTTTTAGCCCATTGGTTGTTCAAGAGCATGTTTGGGTTTTTTTTCTTTTTTCTTCGTACATATTATACAGAATAACGAATTTCTCTGTGACATTTTCATACGTGCATGTAACATACTTTGAGCATATCATTCTTCCATTGCTGCCGTTGCTCTTCTACTCCCTCTCCCTAATGCCCTTCCTCTTCTCTGATACTCTCCCTTCTACTTTTTTGTCTTTTTCCCCCCCGGATTCCAAATATGAAAGAAAACATAAAATACTTCTCTTTCTGAATCTGGATTATTTTGTTTAACATGATGATCTCTAGTTCTTTCTATTTTGATGCAAATGACATTATTTCATTCTTTATAGCTTAGTGATACTCTATTGTGTGTATATACCACATTTTCTTTATCCATTCATCTTTTGATAGGCTCCTAGGCTTACTCCATGACGAGGCTGTTGTGAATAGTGCTACACAGGTATCTGTAGAATGCTGATGGATTCTTTCAGGTATACACCAAGTAGTTACACGACTGGATCACATGGTAGTTCTGTTTTTGGTTTACTGAAGAACCTCCAAACTGATTTTTATAACGGCTGTACTAGTTTACATTCTTGCTAGTAAAGTATAAAGTTACTTTTTGCATGCATCCTCACCAGCATTTGTTATTTTTTGTAATAATGATAGCTGTTCTGGCTACAGTGAGTTGGATGTCAATGAAGTTTTGATTTGCATTTCCCTGGTGACTAAAGATGTTGAAAATTTTTTTTGTATAATTTTTTATTGTTTCATACTTTTCAGAAGTACTTTTCTTCAGTTCATTTACCCATTTATTGAGTGGATTACTTGTTTTGTATATTGATTTTGTATTCTGCTAACTTTACTGAAAATTTGTTTATCAAGTTCTAAGAGACATGGTGGACTCTAGGGTTTTCTTAGAATAGAATCACTTTACTATTTGCAAGCAGGCATAGTTTGACTTCCTCCTTTCTATATGTATCCCTTTTATTTGTTTCTCTTGCCTGATTGCTCTCCCTAAAGTTTAAGTACTGTGTTAAATAAGAGTGGTAAGAGTGAGCATCCTCCTCTCATTCCTGGGTTTAGAGGAGACACTTTCAGCTCTTCCCCTTAGTGTGGCATTCACTTGATTGTGTTGAGGTATGAGCCTTCTGTACCCAGTTCTTTCAGGGTAAATATCATGGGATATTGAATTTTTAAGTCTTTTTCTACATTTAATTAAATGATCGTGTTATTTTTATCCTTGATTTTTGTTGACTTGGTGTATTATGTTTATTTGCTAATGTAGAACCAACCTTGCCTCTCTGGAATGAAGCCAACTTGTTTGTTCTTGTGATTTTTGTTTTTGTTTTGTTTATTTTTGTAGTGCTGGAGATTGAAACCAGGGCCATCATAATGAGCTACATTCCAAGCATACCTACCTACCCATTTTTAGTTTTTAATTTGGAGATGGAGTCTCACTAAATTGCTAAATTGCCCCAGGTGAGCTTGAACTTGGACTCCTCCTACTTCTGCCTCCCAGAATGCTGGGATTACTGCCATGAACTTTCAGGCCCAATCTGAATTACAGGTATTTTATTGTGGATTTCCGTGCCTATGGTAGATATTCATCTAAAGTTTTCTTTTTCTTTTTTAAAGTCCTTATCAGGCTTTTGTAGCAAAACAATACTGGCCTTGTAGTATGAGTTTGGAAGTATATGCTACCATATGCTATTGAGAAGAAAGGGTACTTTGTAGCTATAGTGTAGGATGTTCCATAAATATCTATTAAATGGACCCATTAGGTCCCTGTGGTTTAGAGTGAGGTTTAAAATCTGATATTTGTTTGTTTGTTTGGTTTGGGGTTTTTGAGACATGGTCTCACAATGTAGTTTAGGCTAGCCTTGAGCTCACTATGTGGCCCAGGCTGTTCTTAAACTCATGGTGAGCCTCCCATGTGCTAGGATTACAGGCATGAGCCACCATGCTCAACTCTTGCTAATTTTTGGTTTGTCCAGTGCTGGGAGTGAGCTGTTGAAATCTCTGTTTTTTAAATTTTTATGTCTAATTAACCCCTTTGTAATTATATAATTACCTTCTTTGTGCTTTTTTAATGTTTTTTGGCTTAAAATCAAAACTAATATAGGCATACTATTTCACTCTTATAGTTTCTATTTATAAGAAATATAATTTTCTATTTCTTGATTTTCAGTGTGTGTGTGTGTCCTTATAGATGAAATGAGTTTCTTGTCAATAGAATATATTTGAATCTTGTGCTTTTATCCATTCAGCCACTTTGTATCTTTTAATTGAGGAACTTATTTACATTCAGAGTGTTTTAGTCATAGATGAAGACTAAGGCCTATCATTGTGTTGTTTTCTGATTGTTCTTTAGATCCTTTCTTCCTCTTATTGTTTTCCTTTATGGTTTGGTGTTGATAAGCTTTGAGTGATTTTTCTTTTTCATTTCTAGATCTGCTGTGTGTGTGTGTGTGTGTGTGTGTGTGTGTGTGTGTGCGCGCGCGCGCGTGCGCGCGCTCGAGTTTGTGTGCTTTCTCTGGAGATTACCTTTTAAAATTATATTATAGCTGGGCTGGGGCTGTAGCTCAGGGGTAGAGTACTAATCTAGCATGCACAAGACTTCGGGTTCAGTCCCCTACAAAATACACACACACACACACACACACACCATAAACTTACAGTTAGAGACAATTTTAAGCTGATAATACATAACAGATACTCTAGGTGCCCTACACACACAACTTACTGTTTTGCTGCCTTAATTTAGATCTATTTATATCATGTGTTCCTTAATTATCATTGACTATTTTAGCTTTCATATGGTGATTTCACAAGTTATATCCCTCCATTGTACAGTGATGTAGTATGCTGAATTGTTTATGAGTTTACTTCTTCTAATAAGATTTATACATTTGTATACTTACATGTTAATGGGTATCATACTTTTATTCCTGGTTGAAATATACCCTTAAGAATTTCTCATAAGTCTGGTTGAATGGTGATGAATTTCCTCAGCATTTGCTTGTCAATAAAGATTATTTCTCCTTTATTTATGAATTGCTTTGCTTGGTATAATATTCTTGGCTAGCATTTTTTTCTTTTACCACTTTATGTATATTATCCTATCTTCTCCTAACCTATGAGGTTTCTGCTGATGAGTCTTCTGATACTAATGAAAATTCCTTTATATGTAATTGATGTTTTTCTCTTGCTTTGACTTTTGAGAGTTCCATTATAATGTGCCTCAGAGAGAACCTCTGAGTTGAATTTTATGGACTCCTTGGAGTTTCATGGATATAGATGTCCATGTATTCCCCCAAGACTTGGGAATTTTTCACATATTTTTTTCATCAAATAAGTTTTCTATGGCTTTCTCTTTCTCTTCCCCTGGAACTTCCACAATGTGAATATTTGTTTGCTTAATTGTATGCCATAAGTCCCATATATTTTATTTACTTTTGTTCATTCTTTTTCTATTTTTTTCTTCTTACTGGATTATTTCAAAAGACCTAATAATTGATTTAGTTTGCTAATAAAGCTTTTGATTGTTTTTTTTATTTCATTGAGTTCTTCAATTCTAAGATTTTTACATGACTCTTAATTCTTAATTTTTATTCGTACATATTTGTAGTACATAATGATTATGTTCATGATGGGGTGTTGGTACATGCATGTAACACATCTTAATTCTTTTTTTCATCCCCTTCTTTCCATTCTCCCTCCATCTCTTGATTTTTTTCTATTATTTTTATCTCTTGAATTTCTCATTCAGATCATGAATTATTTTCTGATTTCATTGAATTGTCTATCTATATTCTCTTTTATCTCTGAGTTTCCTTATGATCTGTATTTTGAATTCCTTTATAGGAAATTCATAAATTTTCATTTATTAGGGATTGGTTACTGGAGAATTATTGTGGTTTGGGGGTAGTGTCATATTTATTTGTTTTTTCATCTTTATTGTGTCCCTTGTTGATTACTGTATACTGGTGGGGTGATAATCTCTTCCAGTTTTAAAGAGTGACTTTCATAAAGATTTCCTTCTGTAGATGTGTCTGAGGATATTATTTGCATAGGATGCACTAGCTTTGGTTTCAGGTGTAGTTGTATAATCTCTGCAGTTCCCCCCACCCCACTGTGATCAATAGCAGCTAGCCCTACAGATGCCTTGGTGGTATAGACTGTAGTAGTTTGTGAGACTGGTCTCCCAGCTCTGGGTGGGGCTCCCCTAAAGTAGTCCACCTATCTGGTTGGTGATCAAGTCCATCTGGGCTCACCATTTTGCTGAGAAGGACTGCTTCTTCCTTTATAGGGACAGGATTGGGGCACAGTAGCCATCCAGATGGGAAGGTTGTGCACATCCTAGGCATTTTTATTTCCAGGAGGTAGGGCACTCTTAGCTTAGCTGGAGAATGGTTTGTTATTATGTAAGAACACAGAGTAATGGAAACATAGCCAGTGGCTACTGGCTCCTAGAGCAGAATGCTCTACAAGTGGCTTCAGTGTTAAAATGGTGTCATAGAGGGCTCAGGTTGCCACTGCCTGCCTCAGAAGCACAAGATCCTCAGTTCGATCCCCGATACCAAAAAAAAAAA